CTACTGCGGGATTACTAACCGATTGATGTGAGGCTTCATCAACTTCATCCTAACCCAGCTCTGTTAAGGCTACAAATGTCGAACCAGCTGCTTGGTTCAATCGTTGCTCACTACCATTCCCACCCTTCGACTAGACAATCTTCCGGTGCCTGTTTGAGATTATCATCCATAACCCATATAACTCACCCTCTGTTCCAACATTAGATGGCATAGGTACCTACGAGACTTCCGCGGTAATAGGGTCGGAAGGTGGAGGGTGTTAAACACTACAAGTTTCCTTAGAATGCCCATAAACACCACATCCAAAACAATTTTGAATCAGACCCTGATATTCAATCTTTTGAATAAAGTCATCAATGCCTATGCATGAATGAAGCGGCTTATTCAAATTCACCATTATCGTCATTCTTGCAAACTTTCCACGCTCACCAGCTTGAGTGTTATAGTCAACCTTAATCACTTGCCCCAAAACCATTGCAATACGACGGAAAAGAGCTTTATAATAATACCGATAGGGAAGACTATGGAGACGAACCCAAACAATCACCCTTGACGAATGTTTCTCTGACGTGGAGAACGTCATACTCTATGGCTGAACAGTTAGGTAGTTACCATATATCATCAAGGGACCTTCCGTAAGGACATTGGCGTAGTCACTTTCATCTTTAAACCTCACAAGAAAATAGTTACCCAAATCCTCTAGTTGATCTCCCTTACCGATTTCCCTAATGCATGGATCCGTGTTAGCAAAGTGCTGTAACCTATCGAACGTCCAAGGAGTTGAACAATAATCACGTTACTCATGCTTTTATCAATCTGTTCATGCACTTTAGTAGAGAAAGAGATCCTCGGAAACAGATCAGAATCATCAACCACGCAGTCTTCATCCGATAATACTATCTTGTCCACATCAAACCCCTCACCAAATCTGTTGCCAAGGTTTTCCACCGTTTTGTTTTACCGCAATTGAAGCATATGAAGCTTTACTTCCACCCGCTTGCCTATGTTCTAGATTCAGAATGCCCCCATTCGAACCAACTATTCAATAATAACTTCAACTCCTTCCATGACCGTTGACTCTACAGCAGTACAGCCACAACAACAGGTATTTCAGCACTGTCATCGTTCCTACCGTTCTTCGAAATCTGCTGATCCTCGATAGCCAAAGGTGATCCCGATCATTCCAAAACCGACGGAACTCCAAATGCTCCGCCATTTCCGATGGGCAGCCACCGGCGTTACCAAAAAAGTTCAAACTAGGGTTTATCCCTTCGCTAGGGTTTTTGTCACCGTTAGAGTTTGCCATAAAATATTATTTTATCTTATACATAAAGTTTTTCTTTTTTAAATTACAAGATGTTTTAGTTATTGAGGTGAATTTAGTTTAACTTTTTAAAAGTTTGATAAAAAATATTATTAAAAGTGATTTTGAAATATTCAGTTTAAAATTAAAGTGATTAGTATTGTTATTAAGATATGTTTTAAGAAAATAAATTATTATTTTAAAATGTAAATATGATATTGTGATATATATATATATAATATTTAAATTAACATCACAATATCCACGACGCTTTTATTTAATTAAAATGTGGTTAAAAATTTAAACAAAACCACTTCAGGGAAATAATTGTTTTCTCTCACGATAGCAGGTCTATTGTTCTTGAGTTTTAGGGTTCTTCCCATGGTTTTTGCCGATTTGATTTGCTTGATTCGTTCGAGATGGATTCTAGGTGATTGTTTTGAGCTATGGATTGGAGGAGTTTCTTCTCTGGTGTCGAGGAGCAATCGTTGGACTTCTTCCCTCCAGAGTGTTGTGAGGGTTCCACGACGGTGGTTCCTCCAAATGATGTTTTTGAGGAGGGGATTTCAGAGTGGAAGTTCTCACTGGTGGGGCAATTCATTGGGTCGGCACCCAATTTTGGTTCCTGCAGAAGCTGGTAGAAATAATGTGGGGGAAATCAATTGTCAAGGTTAGTCTTGCTGGCTCTAACCTTTATTTTCTCCTTTGCTAATGGTGCTAGCCGAGACTGGGTCCTTGAGAATGATCCCTGGCATATCCAACACAAACCGTTGGTACTGAGGAAATGAGAACCTAATCTGAAGCGACTTGATTTTAACCTGGAAAGGATGCCAGTGTGGTTTCAGTTGTTCAATGTTCCACTAGAGATGTTTTCCAAGAAAGGGCTTAGCTATATAGCTAGTGCACTAGGTGTTCCTTTGTACATGGACTCGGTCACGGCTTATAAGGAACGACTGGAATTTGCTAAGGTGTGTGTTGAAGTAGAGGCTGGTGCACTGTTGCCTCGTTCGATTGCAATTAAGTTACGAGATGAGACATTATGCACGTGAAGGTGGTCATTCCTTGGTTTCCTTCATGTTGTTCTAAATGTAGGGTATTTGGTCACTTGGATAAGATATGCACTATTGGAGGCGTTGAAGGGAGGAGGGAATGAAAGTTAAGGATAAGGCTCCTGAAACATCTGATAAGATGACTGAGGTGGGAAATTCAAATCAAGGGAAAGTGGAAGCTAGTATGGGATTGCCATTGGTTGAAATTTAAGCGCAGGATCTTATGGAAAAGGGGAATGTTGGGCAAAGTACTGCTATTAAGAATATTGATAAAGATGTGCTTGGGCCAGCTCTTGTGGATGATGTGGAGGTTGGTGAGCTGTCCCTTAAGGAACAGTCAGCTGCAAGGCAGAATTTGAAGATGAATACTAAAAAAGGTAAGACCAATAACAGTGTGGTGAGAGTGGCATCTAAGGTTGATGAATCATTACCTCTAGATCATGCATCTTATCGAAGAAGTAGGGGAAAAAGGTGAAAAAGGGAAGGGATATGTTGTTGGTTCTTCTAATAAGTTTGAAGTTATGGGGTCTTTATTGGAAGAGGCTGATGGAGTGGGAAGGAAGCCTAGGCTTGCTTCTCAGGGTGTTGCCAACATACTGTAGGAAATGAAAACTAAGAAGAATGATCATCTTGATAAGACAAAGAGGCCTGGTGAGCAAGTGGAGGTACAATTCTTCTTTCTACCTCATGATTATGATATTTTGGAATGTAAGGGGATTTAATCATCCCAAAAAAAGTGTTATAATTCGTGTAGAGAAGATGCAGGCTGAGATTATTTGTTTGCTTGAAACTAGAATAAGAGAGAATAGGGCTCAGGATATTGTTGCACAGTTTGTAAAAGATTAGAATTATTGCTGGAACTATAGCTGTCTGAAAAATGGTAGGATCTAGATTCTGTGGAAGAAGAGTTTACAATTTTATGTACTGAAAGTGGCTGATCAGTCTATTACCATTCAGGGTAGCTTGGGTGGTAGGAATGTTTTTGTTTCTGATGTGCATAGAAACAACAATAGAGCTATAAGGAAGGAGCTATGGAACCAGCTTTCTAATGTAAGCACTTTGGTTGGCAGTATTGTTTGGATTGTTGGGGGAGATTTTAATGTTACTGTTGAAGCTGTGGAAAACTCAAGTTATGATGATGGGCACCTCACATCAGAAATGGAGGACTTGCAGAATTGTATGACAAATCTGGGGTTAGTGGACCACCCTTTCTTTGGGACTGTTTTCACTTGGTCAAATAAGAATGAAGTGGGATCTCTAGCTAATAGAGTGCTAGTAAATGTTCAATGGTGTGAGGCATTTTTGAACTCTCATGTGGAATTTCAAGCTCCTGGAGTTTCTGACCATTGCATGGCAGTTACTTAGTACTCCCATGAGAGCCTTACTTCAAGGCCAAAGCCTTTTAAATACTTTAATTTTTGGGCTTTGCACCCTGATTTTAAGGAGGTTGTTGGGAAGTCTTGGGATGAGGCTGTGCAGGGGGACCCTATGCAAGCTTTGTTTTACAAAATGAAGAGGTTAAAGCCTGAGTTGAAAGCTCTTAATAAAAGATGTTATTCTAATATCTCTGAGAAGGTTGCTGAAAAGAGAGAACAATTAGAGAAACATAAGGTTGTGACTCTAACTGGAGGGAATTCAGGTGATGTGGCAGATGAAAAGAAATTATACCTAGAGCTTATTGAATTAGAAAAGGCAGAAAGGTTGTTTTATCAACATAAAGCAAAAGTTGATTGGCTGCTAAATGGAGATCAGTGTACTAAGATCTTCCACTCTTAAGTTGTAGTTAAAAGGAAGAGAAATATAATAAGAGTATTTATTGATGAGAGGGGTAATAAATTAGAAACATTTGATTCTATGGCTAAAGAATTAGAGAGCTATTTTACAAGGCAGATTGGAACAGTAGATGAAAATGTGCAGGGGTGTACTGATAAATTCCTGAGGGACTTGCTGGGATATTCCCTCCCTGAAGGTGCTAATGTTGGCTTGGTTAAAGTTGTTACTAATGATGAAGTTAAAGAGGCCATTTGGAATCAAGGCAAGGATAAGGCTCCTGGCCCTGATGGATACACATCTGGTTTTTTTCAATCTGCCTGGGACATTGTTGAAGCATATTTTTTAGATGTTGTGAGGTATTTTTTTGAATCTTCTACAATGTTTTTGCCTTTAACTCTACTGCTATTGTATTAGTTCCTAAGCAACCCAACTCTTGTAAAGCTATGGATTTCAGACCTATATCTTGTTGCTCTGTATTTTACAAGACTGTCACTAAGATCTTGGTGAGTAGACTGGTAAAGTACCTTCCTAAGATGATAGCCCTTAACCAGTCAGTCTTTATGAGGGGAAGAAACATTGAAGGTAACACTCTCTTGGCACGAGAGCTTGTTAGAGGGCATGGTAGGGGTTATATCTCCCCTAGATGTTCCATAAAAGATTATCTACATAAAGCTTTTGATTCTATAAGCTGGAAGTTTCTGCTTGCTATTTTGAAAGGATTAGGACTGCCTGAACAGTTTAGATGATGGATAATAACTTGTGTTATGGACTCTAGATTCTCCATTATGTTAAATGGTAGCCTAGTGGGGTTTTTCAGAGGTAGAAGAGGAGTCAGGCAAGGGGACCCCCTATCCCTTTACCTATTTTTAGTTGTTATGAATGTCCTCTCCAAGCTGTTAGATATTGCTGCTTCTGGAAAAAATTTCCAATTTCACCCTAAGTGCAGAAGAGTGAATTTAACTCACTTATGCTTTGCAGATGATTTGCTTATTTTTTGCAAAGGTAGTTTGAATTCAATTGTAGGGGTGAAATGTGTCTTGGAAAGGTTCTATGAGTTGTCTGGGATGAGGCTTAATGCTTCTAAGACTGAAATCTTTATTGCTGGTGTGAATGATAATCAGAGGACCTTGGTGCATGAGGCTACTGGTTTTAAAATAGGCTGCATTCCTGTAAGATATCTAGGGGTACCTCTTGTCCCTAGGAAATTAACAGAGAAAGATTGTGCTAGTCTAGTGGAGAAAATCAAAGCAAAGTTAGAACTTTGGTCCAATAGATGGCTGAGTTATGCATGCATGTTGTAACTGGTGAAAGCAGTCTTGTTTAGCATTGCAAATTTCTGGCATAGGCAGCGTATTCTGCCTGCTGTTGTGGTTAGAAGGGTGGACCAACTTTGTGCTAGGTTTTTCTAGAATGGTGGAGATATTCTAGCTAAGGGAGCTTGAGTGAGTTGGGAGAGGATTTGTACCCCTAAATCTGAGGGGGGCCTAGGCCTAAAACATTAAAATGCTGGAATAAAGCTTGTGTTTTGCTACTGGTTAAGGAGTTACTTACTGCAGAGGGCTCACTTTGGGTTGCTTGGGTGAGATCATATGTTTTTAAAGGAGCTGATATCTGGTCTATTGAAAGCAAATCCTCATTCAGCTAGAGTATGCAAAAATTTTTGAAAATTAGGGAGGAAGTACAACCTCTGTTCTCAAGGATCATGGATTGGGATAAGGTTAACACTCACTGACTGTGGCAGGAGATCAGGGGGAAAGAGAAGGTTGAATGGCACAAGATTGTATGGTTTCCTATGCACATTCCTAAGCATCACTCATTGCTTGGATGGCTATCCTTGATAGATTGCCAACTGTTGATAGGCTTATTCGAATGAGAATTGAGGTGGATGATAAGTGTAGATTGTGTGGAGTTGTGGCTGAGACTCGCATCCATATCTTTTTTGAATGCCCATTCTCGAAGGTCGTATGGGAGGTGATCGCTCGGTTGTGTAATATTGACATAATTATGGGGAGTTGGGATGAGGAATTGAATTGGGTAATATCTCGGTTCAAATGTAAAACTTTCATTTTGTTTATACTTAGAGTAGCTTGGCGTGCATACGTATATTGTACATGGGAGGAGAGAAATCATAGGCAATTTAGGGACATTAGCAGAGATATTGATAATGTGGTGAATTTTATTAAAGAGGTTGTTAAGGTGAAGGCATTAGGATAGTCATAAAGAGTAGTGTAGTTAACAGGAACTTTTGTTTGGCTTGGAGGATTAACACCTTCTAGGAAGCTGATGTTGGATTTTTGCTGACTGTATTGGTTGTAGCAGTGAGATTTTCTACTGCTTCTTGGATAATAATATGAGAAATTTATCCAAAAAAAAAATTAAAATGTGGTTAATTAGAGTTAAATTAATTAAGATCACAAATTGTTGATGTGTTAGTGAATATATAAAACTAAAAAGGATAAACTACATAAATAGTCGTTAATGTTTGAGTAAATTTTCATTTTTCCACTAAAATTTCAAAAATAACAAATTATCACTAAAACATCATATATTACCAAACATTTTCAAAATTATTATGAATGCTAATAATATATTCACGCACAAGTCTTAATGGAAGCACTTCCAAGACAAGATTGGGAATCTCTTACCTTGCCCTTCTGGTTTAGAACAACATTTCTACTTTTTTGGGATCACAATCCCAGCTGCTTAGCTAATGCCATCTGTTAGTTATGGTACGGGTTATTTTTATAATTAATCTTATATATGTAATTGTAATTTAATTTTGGATTATTTGCGAATAATAAAGAGAACAACCGCTCATTGCTCTCGAGATCGTATGCACATTGTCGAACCTTGTTAAATCTTGTGTTCTTTATTTGCTTTACTGCTTGTTTATTTCTTGAGTTAATTAGCCCATTTTCACAACACCATCTTTTGTTTCTGCAAATATTTTTACGTTTGATTAATAAGAAAATATTTATTTTACAACATTCCATATCGTAAACTTTTTGTTGAAATTACTTACTGAGTTGAGAGTGTTGTTTTCGTTGAAGCTTTCTTCGAGAGTATCAGATTGATCTTTATAGAAAGTTTAAGCTTTTTCCTTGAAGTGACACCGTCTTCTTCATCACTATGCCACGAGAACAAGCACTTTTAATTAGGGTTTTAAAAAACGTTCCGTGATCATGATTTCGTCTACGATCTAGCGGTTTCGTCGCCGTCCGAGTTACCCGCGACGGCCGCAATAGCGCCCGTAACGACCGTAATCAGAATAAAAACGAAATGACCGAAAACGCGATCGCGACCGTGATTTGAAACCCTGCTTTTAATATCAATCTCATCATCATTAACGTCTGCCCTTTCACTCATTTTCTCACTCAAACTCGAGATCGTGTTGTTGGGGACGACCCGGTTCCTTCTTCACAATCAACCGTGGAAGGCAAATTATTAACGTTGATTCCTCTACGAAATGATCTTGTCCCGCCCAGAAAAGATTCTGAGTTGGGATCTGCATGCAAATAAAACTTGGTCTAAATATTGAGAGGAAAGAAAAAAAGAAATAAAGCCTGCAATGTTTCTTTGGTTCACAGAACATACTTCTTCCTGCTTTTTAAAGGTAACGGTAGTCATCGATCAACGCAACAGTTTCATCGTGCGACCGACAAGTCGTTTTGGGTTGGTGTTGCAGGAAAGGTGGTTCTCGTGAATATACAGGAGGTTGTGGAATGTTTGAAAAAATTGAAAATTAGAAAGCTTTGGATAAATTAGATATAAAATCATTGTTCAAAAGATATATTTGATGCTATTTTGAAACTTTAATGGGGTAAAAAAATTATTCAAACATTAGTAATCATTTGTATAGTTTATTCTTTTTAATTTTATATATTCAATGTGTCACGTCATTAATTTATTAAAACTGTAATGACAATTAAATTTAATGACCACATCTTAATTAAATAAAAATAAAAATACTTAAATATTATATATTTTTTAATTTAATGAGAAAAATACAAAACTTAAACGAGAATGGTCAATCATGTAGTTTATCCAATATTTTATTAATCATATAATTATATCTTGATGAAAAATATTTATAAGTTTACAAATTATGAAATAAATCTACTATAAACTAATGAACGATGGTTAAAACTATAATTTTGACTTCAAAATCATTTTTCAAATACAAAAATTATAAATTTCAGCTTTGGCGTTTTTCAAACACACTATTTCCTCATAACTTATGTATTTAGTATTTGTTTTAGCTCAAAAAATACTTTGACCCTAAAAGCACTTTTGATAAGCAATAGTCATTGAGACTAAAATCTTAAATTGTTCTCAATAAGGGTGACAAGGTTTGTGGGACTTTTAGGTAGGAATGACAATGGGGTGGGTTCGGGGAGGGATTTGTTTCCCGTCCCCGCCCCGTTCCCCGTCGGATTTTTTATCGGGGCGCTCCGTTGAGGATTTTTTTGCCCCGTCTCTAAACCCGACCCGATCCTGAGAACCCGAACCAGAATCCAACCCGATCCTAAGGAAAACATTTTCATAAAATATTATATATATATATATATATATATAATTCATATAAAAAATATAAAATATTATATATATATATATATATAATCGGGGCTGGGTAGGATACCTTGGCCCAAACCGAACCCAAAAAAATCCCTTAAATTTACCTCGATACCCGACCCGATGTTATTCAAACCCGACTCGACCCGAACTTAGCCGGATTTCAGGTTTCTCCGTCGGGTTCGGGTTTGACTAGCATTCCTACTTTTAGGTCTAATGACAGGTTCACAATTCAATTAATATGGCTCGGGTTTTCCTCTCATCGAAAACGACCACCGATAGTCGTGAATAAGCCGAAGAAGCTTCACCGGAAACACCCCTCATCGCCTCGGGTTTTCCTTGATTCCGGTTAATCTAGACACCGGCTTGCCTCACCGCCACCGTTGTTGGGCTCGTTGTTATCGTGCGCTTAAAACCCAACTGGTGGGTCACGCATTGCTGCCTTCATCACCGTCGGGGTAAGTTCCGAATGAATTTCGGCGACTTTGATTAAAGTTGTTGAAATCTTGGCTTGAAATTCGTGTAATTGGAGTGTTTAACTAAATCGGGGTAAATCGATCGTCCGAAATGAGCTACTTCGTCGCCACACACAGGCAGTGTGTATGGGGCTCTTCTGCCGGTCTAGGAGCCTTCTGGAACCGGTCTAGTCAGACCGAACCGAGTCGAGTTGAGTCAACTCAGATAGAGTCAACTCGTTGACTATGACTGACCATTGACTTGAACGTTGACTTTAACTAGAGTTGACCGTTAACTTTGACTTTGGCAAAAAAGTTTTAACACCCCAAATTATTGGTTAAATTACGAGTTTTGAAACTTATGGATAATTTAAGAAATTGCATAAAATTCAGGGACCTAGTCCTGAATTTGCCCATTTTTTTTAATGGTGAAAATTTAACTCCCTTGAGCAATCTAATTTTTCCCCAATTCAAAAACCCTAAATTCGTAACTCGTCAACCCTTTTTTGTCACTCAGATTCTCTACCATCCGACCACTGTTAGTCCTCCAATACCACCAATAGACTCACCATCGAATGGTGAACAAAACCTAACCTTTAACTCGTCGTGAATCGGCATCGTTCGCCGTAAAACTCGATGTGAAGCTTCGTCATTTTTAACCCGACCACCACATGTTTTTCATCGATTCGGGTCAATCAACCCATCCGTTCACCTCACCGCATGCACCATTGGACTCACCGTCACCGTGCGCTCAAAACCCGACCGAAATCGTTGCATCGTTGTTGCTCCGTCATCGTCACTCGCCGGCAATCCTTGAAGAAGTTTGTACATTTTAAAATTCTGAAATCTATTATGTTTTGTTGAAAAATAACACTTGAACGAGAATCCTGAGGTCTCGATCTAGCAATCTGAAAAATTTCGTGTCGAAACGACACCGAAGCCGCCACACGTGCCTCTCCTTGCGCGTCGGCGTCGTCTGCCAGCCTGGGAGTGTGCTGACCGGCTGAACTGGTCTGGACCGAGCCGTCTAACCGTTGACTTGATAGTTGACTTGAACGTTGATTTGACTAGAGTTGATCATTGACTTTGCCTTTAAAAAATAAGTCTTAACACCTCAAATTAGGGGTAAAATTATGAGTTTCTGAAACTTATGGATAGTTTTTTGAAAGTGTAGGAAATTTAGGGTCCTAGTCCTGAATTTGCCCATTTTTATGTTATTGTTGAAAATTTAACTCCCTTGAGCAATCTAATTTTCCCCAATTTAAAAACCCTAAATTCCCAACCGTCGATCCCTTTTTGTCGCTCCGATTCTCTACCATCCGGCCACCGTTCGTTACTCCGACACCACCAATAGACTCACCATCGAATGGTGAACAAAACCT